CAGGGTCAGAGTGCAAAGCAGCATGTGCTCTTATTTTCAGCGCATACTGACAGTCTGCATGGCCTGTATTTACCTGCAGAGGTCTTCCTTCCTTTTCCGGTCTTCCAATAAAACTACGCCATCTCCTGGTGGCTGCCGCACCAAAAGGCCTTTGTAGAGTTTAGTCCCATATTTTAAAAGCAAATCCTCACAATTGCTCTCGGTTTTAATTGTGCAGTCTGCTGTTATAGCGCATAACAGTACATGGTCACAGATATATTGTCTAGGCACTGAAACTCCCACAGTTTGGTTGTGTCTGTTTGTAATAAAGGTGATGGAGGATATGAACCCCATCATGTTGTCAGACTGATGCAGGTGCTTTTCCTTCACTGTATTTTGAAATATTGCAGTATTTGCTCTAGATCAGTTAATCCTTTTGACTTAATAGTACAGACATAAACACATAACTGGGTTTGACAGTTTTATTCATTAATGTTTACAAGCACATTCATATCCCTCCCCCTGGTTTTACTCATATTCAACATGTACATGCAACAAAAGAAACTGGTTAGTCATATCCCTGTACATATGTTCGAAACCATGTCCAGGTTTCTTGTGCTTCTGCTTTTGTTTCTCATTGTCATTGTCATTTCTGTAGCGACTATCTCAGCAGCTGCAGATGACCACAGTCTGGTTTCTGTTTGACTCAACACTTTTGCATTTACTGAACTTGCTGGATTTCACTTCTATATCAAATTACAAGTAATAGAAAATGAGAACACCAGTCAGTCTTTCCCTTTATTTCATCATGTTGATCATCATTTACAGAAAATGATCAGGTTTGGAGGACATGTGTGCATATTTCACACATCAGTTTCTATCAGATTACTCACGAAAGCAGATCCTGGTTTGCTTCTGAAACCAAGCTATGATGTTTACATGTGTGAACACGACTGGGATACTCCAAAACCTTGATCATAACTAGGACACCTGTGCAACTAATCTCAGTCAATGAAGAGCTGGAGCTACTGTAGCTGAAATATGACCCTGTCAGACAGTGTGGAATAAGATACCTTACCACTATGTGTAATATGTGTATTTTTTAAATATTGACTCAAATATATAGTATATTAATGCTGAATGTAAGTGAAGATTTCTACATTTTTATTGCACCATTTTAAGAAATTATGTTGTTGTTTTTTTTCAATACTACAGATGTGACACATTTCCACTCATTCCTCTTGAGGAAAAGCAGCAGTCAGCTTACAACCTTAAGTCTGTGCATCTTTCATCTCATCCTGTAATATGATGACATGTTTTCTGGCCTTAACTCACTCTCATCCATTTTCATCGATTAAAAACCCTAGATAAAGAATAAGCCCTCACGATGAACATGTCTAAAAGAACAGATCACCTCACTAGGCACGATTTAGCCTGTATGTCCTTTTTTTACAAAAATGTTTGTTTACTTTTTATTAACTGGGAAGGTGGTCTGCATGGATAATATTTAAAATGTTTGTATTCTACTTCTACTCATGGTCTCTGTTTCTACTTATGTGTGACCTTTGACCTGATTAAACAGAGTAATCTGTTTTCAGGGAGCAACATGGAAATTTTATCGTGGACCCTGACTTGTGTGATCTGTGGTTTTCTTTTCCACCACAGTCCTTATCCATGCTTTGTACGCAGAAGTCGTGACCCCTGATGCTGTGACGAAGGGAACCGGGGGCCTGGCTGGCATGGCACGGCCAGTGGGAGGGTTCGTCGGGATTGCCTGCAGATGTTGGGTCAGGGGCCCTCTGCTTATTTAACAAGAGGTTGTGGAACATAAATCTTCCAAGGCCTGTGCTGCAGGTCATGTTGGTTCCACTTCCTCTTCAGTTAGACGCACTACACATGCACTGATGATATAATACTGTAGCAGCACACAGCTGTGGGGCTGCTTTTTTTTAAGAAACACTCGATTATAAAATTTGGGCTCTCCAGAAATGTACATGAGCTTTATGACATTTTATTTTTCAAATAAAACATAAAACATGGTGAGAAAGACCCTCCAGGCTGTGAAAGGATAAAAGTGGTACTAAAGGCAAAGCCTCGCTTTTAATTGATAAAAATAATTAAGGGAGCAGTAATTAGAAGAGTACTGACATAATGAGTGCAGGAGATGCTTATAGCCTCATTTATTGGTACAATTATCCAATAAAAAGTAAACAGGGTGCATCACTTTAACAGTGAGGGGAGAAATGGACAGTTGGTATAACAGATTAGCAACATTCATCCTGCCAAGGTCAGCGTCAAGGAACACATAACTCTATGACTAATATCCCCTCAGCATAGTTAAATAAAACATATGCACTCAGAAATCTGCTCTTCTTTCATATTGTATTTCATAACTAATATTCCCACAAAAAATGGCTGGCACTGGTAAAACCACTTAAATGACCAAAGCAAAAAAACACAGAAGGATAGGAAACCTGTTAGGAACTGTATGAAAATGAGTGAGGTGGGAAGGAGGGGCTGAACCTTGTATTTTCCCTTTTTTATTGCAACACAAAATAACACATTTATAGGGCAAAGGACATAACATAGAAAATAAGATGACATAACATTTATAAAAGAGACACAGGGATTTTTACATTTGTGTGTGAGGTCGTGCAGTGTGGGTGTATTCAACTCTATGCAGTCTGGTATTCAGTATATATTAAAGAAAAATGAAATTAAAGAAAGATAATTAATCAATTGGAGCAAAGAGGAAAAGGGGGGGGGGGGGGG